GGAAATAATGCCTCTTATCTCGGTAACGGAAAAGACCTGAGCAGAGATATTTTCGAATTAGTCATGTCCTTATGCTAATAAGTAACTTGCAAAAAAGATTTTTCTTCAACTCGTCTGCAAAAAAACTACAGTCAAATCTATTTCGACTCCATATGGGTGAGAGTTTTTCGATGCCAGAGGCAAGATGATGGTGAAGCCGAAAGGAGCAGTCATCCTATTCCGCAATGTTGAACATTCGGGAACCAGTTCCGCACCCGGAATGAGTTCCATCGATTCCGGAATCGAATTTCATCAAAACTTCATTAAATTTCGGAATCAGCTCAAATCATTCGAGGAATTCCAGAATTAGAACATTTAACGATATCCAATTGTATCATACGAGTTATCTGAGCATGGGATTCCGCTTGAGAATCCCAGAATTGGATAAAAACGGAATGGGTACAGCATATCATGATATCCAACTACGGAAGCCTCATCAGCAAGCAAGTACAAAAGTGAGGGTGCCACGAAAGCATAATTCTCGTCAGTCTCTATGTATATCGGAATTCCAGAATTGATAGGAATTAGACAGAATCGGTAGGAATTCCGACCAATCCCTGGGAATTCCTACTAATTCCTAGTGGATGCAATTCCGGAATTCCGTACCGGAATTGAATGTATATATCGGACTGATCGGTTGTCAGTCATCCATGTAGATTGGAATTTCTGATTTAGGCGGAATTGGTAGGAATTCCGGCGAATATCTAGTTGATGGAATTCCGAAATTCCGTGAATGTGCATGGAACTGGTAGCTGGTGTTTAATATTAAGAAATGATGTGATAACCCGAATTGGAGGAATCAGTGGTATTGATCCGTATGCGTAACTGGTTCCCGAATGTTCAACATCGCGGAATAGGATGTATTCTTGCCGAAAGTAGAATTGAAGTGAAGTTGATGATCTGAAACACAGCATCGATTCTGAGTTAGGCCGATAATAGTTTGATTTCGCATCGATTGTTTGTTAACGAGTTCGGTATTCCAAACGCAGTTGGAATGTACAATTCATTGTTCAAAAATAGATATGCAGTTATTTCAAATTTTGTTTTCATTTTACGTTAGTTCGTCTTGATATTTGTCAAATGAGTTTCATAGTTTAGCATCTAGAAGATAGTACTTATATGAAGAAAGGTGTTAGTTTAAATAGAAAACACTTCTTCTTTTTTAGTTTATGTTAAAAATATAAAAACAACATTCAGAGTAATCATCGCTGATGTTTTCATTTATAACGCAAATAGTATCATTTGACTTCATTTACTGCGATCGGTCAATAGTTGAGAAAAAGAGGAAAATAATTCTATATCTCAAAATCTTTGGCTCTAGTTAATGAATGGTTATAAGCTTTACGATTTTTTCATTTATATTCGAAGTCGAATTAGGCAACTATTCATAAAAACTGTTTATTTGTAATACTAATAAATTGTAGTTAACATATGTGGGAAACTAAAAAGATTAAAAGAATTCATTTATCTCGAATAGGAACCAACGTTCAATAATTATATTTGGCAAGACCGAAGACGAGAGATCGTCCTTAAAAAATACTTTGAATCCCACAACAGTATTAAAAATTGATCAAATCGATTATATAATCAAGTGTAGTCCAAATTTAAGTGAATCTGATCACGAAAATTTCGAATCGAATTATGAAAATATTAAAAAACTATTTGAATTAGATCAATCTGCTATTCTTTTATTTATAATTCATCTTGATGATGATCAAAAAATTAATGTCGAATCAATAATTACATTTAAAATTCTTAATGATATTTACCACTTCGATAGCCAATCATTTTTATTTATTATCGATAACGCATATTCAAATCCATATCAAAATGATATAAAAAAGAGCCTCGAAAGATTATTGAATTTCACCAATATTAAGGTATGTTTTACTAGTATAGAAAAAGATTGTCGTGAATCATTGATTCAAACTATTCGAAATTGTAAACCTACTCAGTATGATAAAAGTAATATGAATTTATGGACACATGAACAAATAACAAAACTAAAGAAAGAACTTGAAAAGAAACAAAATTCTTTAATTAATTTATTGAAGGAAATTAAAATTGACGTAGAGGAAAATAGAGATTTATGTATGTTTTCCTATAAAGATATTCAATACTATTACGACAATGAGAAAAATACTTTAAGTTGTAGCAATGATCAGGGGATCAAGCTTTTGAATAAGAAAGAATTTAATATTTTGAAATATCTTTTGAAAAGAGATGCACTATTTAATAAATCAATAGAAATTAAGGAAAAATTGGAAAAAGGAGAATTATATGAAATGATTCTAGATTTTTTGACAAAACAAAACGAACATATTCAAGACAATGATAGCGATATTAAAAGTCAAAGACTAAAGGAAATTGATGAAATTATTAGAACCTTAGAAACTGTTATTGACGATAATACGGATCAACAAGTACCTCAATTACAACGCGAACTTGCTCAATTTGAACAATGTTTAGAAAATGTCAGAAAATTAGAAAAAGATATTCAGGAAAAACAAGAACAGATTCAGAAATTCTCTAAAAATATCGCTAATATTAACAAAGAAATGCAAGAGAACGATGAAAACTTCGATGATCTATTACTAGCAAAAAGGTCTCAATTCGAATATACACTGAATTCTTATCAGGCTCAGGGGTTCAAAGAGCGCAACAGAAATCAGTGTGAAATAACAGCTTTTTGGGATAGATTCGATACAGTGAAAGAGAAGAAAGACGTCGAAATATTAGAAGAACATTTAGAAGAGGAACGTAATGCTTTAAAAAAACTAGAGGGTAGTTTAAAAGAGAAAACGAAAGAGTTAGAGAAATTAGAAGACAAAAAAAATCATTTAAATAATCTTATTTCTGAAATTAATACAGAAATAAGTACTCTTAAGACTAAAGCAAATAGCATAGATGAAGGAATCAGAAAACTAAAGGAAGAGGAAAAAAAATTAGAAAAAAAAAAGTCAGAAGAAATTCGTACGAAAAAAGCTGAAAAAATTTTTTTGGATGTAGGAGGATCAACTAAAGTCGTTCCTGATAATAATCAAGATAGTCGTCCACATAACGATTGCGTCGTCACTCCAGGAGTAGGCTATTGTCATTATCTAGGTGCGGTAGAAGAAGCAATAGATTTTGTCTCAAAGAAGCTTGATTCTGAAGTGAGTATAGATGTGGAAGAAACAAAAAACCAGTTGCTTGCACACTTGTCCTCTTCGACGGATTATCCACATTCTGTTGCAAAGATCACAGATGGAAAACACACAAATGATTTAAAAATAGTTGTTGATGAGACAGTAAAAAAAATAAATGAATTGAGACATGAAGCAGAAGAAATCGAAAAGAAGTATGACGAGACGATACAAAAGAACACAGCAGATATCAAACAGAAAGAAAAAGAAAAAACAGATATTGAAAATGATATAGTAAAGAAAAAAGATATTTTGTTAAAATACCAACAAGAAATCGTAAATAATTGTTTGACAATTTTCAATATTAAAGAAAATATTAAATATATCAAATCAGGTATTAAACAGAAAAAAGAGATCATTCCAATTATAGAAAAAAAGAAAAAAGTCTCCGATAGTAGACTTCAGTTTGCAAACAAATATACTACAATAAAACAGAAAGACGTTCCTAGTCAAATTAAAGAGTACAAAGGTTTACTTAAAACTATTAACCAATCAGATTCATGTTCAACATTTCTTAGAGATCAAGATCAACAAATAACTCAATTAATAAATTGTCTTAGTTGCTTAGTAGATGAAAATAAGAATAAACGACCCGATTCTAAAAGCAATAATCTTCCAGATAATTTGAATTTAAAAAACAAATCGGAAAATTTACGCACGACAGTCTCATCATTAGAGAATGAACAAAAACAAGTCGGGCAGTTAGAGAACGAATTATACAAATTAAATCTAGAAAAAAAACAAGCAGAACGCGATTTACAGGAAAGGAATATTGTTCATAAATTCGAAGTCAATAAACTTCAGTTGAATTATTTAAAACGCCTACCAGAGATAAAAGAGATTCAAAAGAAATCAATTTTATTGAATAAATCATCTCAAATAAATAGTCGAACCCATTATGGGTTTGTTTTGCGGGGTGGATGGTATGCTTTTCCGTTACCAGATCTTGAAAATGAACGAGCTCAACAGCAGCATATATCAAAAATTAATGATTTACTTAAACATGTTGACTTAATAGATAAACACCTCGTTGAACTGAAAGCTGAAAGACAAACTCTTCTTGATCAATCGAATGTCTCTTCAGAAGAAAACAAATTTATCCAGTTTAAAAATATTGAGAAATTTTTATTAACTCGATTTATTCGTTTGTCTGGATTTGATCAATTAAATAGTGGAAAAATATTAAGTCCAATCGAATCTTTTATCTCTGTTTTGATTGCTGAGATCCTAGATCAATCTCATTTGTATGAAATTGATGGTTTCAATCCACTTGACCCCATTATTGAACAAGGCTTAGATAAAATCCTAATAAAATTAGAAAATCATTCTGATCTTTCTAAAGTTTTAACAGAAATTGATAAAGAATATTCCGATGAAGGCCACATTTCTAAAGTTGTTATTTTCGAAGTAGGACAAGAAAATAAAAATCTATCGAATATGGAATTGTCTCTTTTTAAACAAGATAATCTGTATTTTGTTTTAAAACATGATAATCTGTATTTTGTTTTAAAACATGATCAAGCAATTAAATTAATAGATAATGAAAATCTTAATTTCAAATTAAATATAAATAAAATTCTTTCTGATCTATCAAATGAAACAGATCTGTTAGAAGATTTATGTTACAAACGAATAGCATACGCCTATAAACAAAATTTACACAAATCGAATGAATTAACACAAGTTTATCAGAATGAAATCGATCAATTAACTCAAATTTATTCAATAAAAGAATTTAATGCGATATTTTCACCATGTACAAATCCGACACTGTTCTACTTTTTATCAAATGTAGATGAAAATTTAGATAAACTCGGATTAAAATTAAACAAATTTGATTTCGAATTTGAAGAAATATCAAATTTTAGTTTAATTAAAATAAAAGATCTCTATAAAACAGCTATTGTTAAAGTATTACTTCGTGAACAAGAGAGAAGAAGACAAATTCGTGTAGAAAAGATAACAAAAAATGAAAATGAAGAAATTCATTTGACAAATCTTATTCAACAAGATGAAGAGAGAGAAAAACAATTATTAAAAAAACTAGATGAAAAACAAGAAGAAATTTTTAAAGTTGAATCCGATTTAAATAAAATTCTCGGTCAATTGAATCAATCTGAAGAAATTTATAAAAAACAGATTGAAGATTTAGAAAACGAAAAGAAAAGTATTTTATCACAGTTGAATAATTTAAATAAAGAATTAAATGACTTAAGCAAAAATATGATTAACAATGAAGAGGAAATTCGAAAAATAAAACAGAAAGTAAAAGATTTAAATACTCAGTCGCAAAATGTCGGCAAGAATATAAAGGAGATAGAGACAAAATTAAAAAAAACGATGGACCAAAAACGTGAATCAGAAAGAGAGAAAATCGATTTAGAAACTAAAAAAGAACAGATTGGAGTGGACAGAAAATATCAGGAAGATAAATTGAAAGAAAAGAAACAGGAAATAAATCAAATTGAAGCTTGGAAAAAATTTCTACAGAATTTAAATGAAGCTTTCCTTAGTGAGAAGATCAGCAAAAAAAGACAGTCGATTTTAAATCAGATAAACTTGACCAAAAATTTATCAGAATTATACGATATTTTACGGCAGGATAATGATTTGAAAAAAATTTTATTCAAAAATCTCAATGAAATAGATGTTCACAATTATATAAGCAATCCTACCACTTGTGAAGTATACTCTAACTTACATATTAGATTAAAACAATTAGCTAAAAGTTTCTTAGGTCCGTTGAATGGTCAGTTAGTTTCTGAACTAGGTATAAATATCAAAGGGGATCCAATTCAAGTTAAAAAATATAAAATTTCTGTAAGTGGTAATGTTTCTTATCGAGAAATTCATCAAAATTTAAAAGATACGATTGAAAGAGAGATCAAATGTCGAAATGGTGGTTTATTTTTCGATGAAGAATATTTAAAAGTAACAGTAAATGGAATAAATTCATTAGATGATTTACCTAATGAGATAAAATCGATTATTAATGATCGAATAAAAATAGACTATCAACAACATGAATGGGAGGATAGATTGAATAGAAAATATGATAAAGCAGTTAAACAATTAAATGAATTAAAGATTGATTATAAACAAATTGTTTGTTGTTATTGTAGATCAAATTGAAATTCTGTGTGCGAACACTTTTCTATTAGATTCGAAGGATTATTATCCAGGAATTGATTTGATTGTTCGAGCTACACGAATGAAAAGTGGTTACAACACAGAATCTGTTACGTTGATAACTACAGGATCAGATGCACGAGAATTTTGTTTTAAACAAGCATCAGATGGAAGTAAAAAACGTGCATATACCGATATTCCAGAAGGCCATTCTGGTTACGATGGCGAATTCGGTCGAGATGGCCAACATGCAGGAAATATTTTCATTAAAATAGATGAGAAAATCGAAAAGTTAGAATTGTTAAAATCTATTAAGCTTTCAGGTGGCAAGGGAGGTTCCGGACAGTTAGGTGGAAATGGTGATAAGGGATATAAGGGAAAAGATGGAGAAAATGGGAAGGCAGAAGATACTCGTGTATTTGCAGGTGGACAAACTACTTTTGGACTTGGTCAGGTAGGAACAAAAAGTGGAGATGGAGGGAGTGCAGGTTTTTCAGGGCGTGGTGGTAAAGGCGGGCAGTCAGGAAAGTTAAGCATTAGTGATAGTCAGGGCAACCGAATAGAGGAAATCAAAGGTTCAGTGTCACAAAATGAAGGTTAACCAGGTATAGATCCTGATTTGTCAAATAATATGGGACCAAAGGGAGGAGAAGGTGGCGAGCCAACAATTGTTGGAATGGATCAAGTCAAAAATAAAAAAGGTTTTGTTCACAAAACAATGACTGAGAATGGTGAAATTGATATTCCGTATTTATTAGAGAAAAATCCTAAATTACGAAAAAAAATAGAAGAAAGTCCCACGTTTGGAAACAGGGGTCTATCCACATATGTGTCAGTTTCGCTCTTTCTTTTAGCTCCTGCGATTCCTTTATTAATTAATAGTACTATTCCTTATCGAATGAGTAAAAATGAAGTACAATATCTGCAAAATCCAAGAAGATATAAAAGTACAAAAGGAAAATCAAAAGAAAATGAGACAAGTCGCTTTCGACAGGAAACTGAAAAAGAATCTCAAATAATTTCAAGAGATTTCACTAATACTTCAACCTTGGATCGATCTTTACTTGAGAAATCGAAAGAATTTTCAGAACTTATCGGAGAAAATCATTACGAACAAATAGTTGATCAACTCAAAATAGAAGAACAAGATTTTGATAATAAAATAGCAAATTATCAATCACAAGAACATTCATTAGAAATTGATCTTAATTTAAAACAACAAAGTATAACACAATTAGAAACTGAATTAAATCAATATCAAAGTAGATTGAATCAATTAAGACAGGAAAATTTAGAATCAATGCAAGAAGAAGCATTAAAATTAGGAGAAGAACTTGAACTAATCACTCGACAGCAAGAACTACGAGATAAAAGAAATGAAAAAGCATTAACTCAAAATATTTCTGTTACTAATTTACAAACATATTCAAAATTTCATGGTCAATATCAAGAAGAATATAATAAAATGAAAAAATCTTTAAGTGAATATAAAAATGTCAAAGAAATTCTATTGAAAAAAAAACAAGAAGAAAACGCTAAAATAGAAAATGAATTAGCAAAATTAACTAAGAATTTAAAAGAGAATAGAAAAAAATTAAGTTATTTTAAAGATGAGAAGCTTAAATTATTGACAGACGAGGCGATTTTACGTGAAGATATTTTAGAAAAAACCCAAGAAGAAGTACAACATGAACATGAATATGAAATCAATTGTCTCTTAGATCAAGATATTGACATTCCAAGAAGTGGAAAATTTTTTCTGAATAAAATTGAAAAACATCCTTTTACACCTTTTGTTCGAAAATTAACGGATTATGATCAAAAGAACGAAAACTTGTTATATTTTCAAGTATGGTATGATTCTCTTAGTGAAATAAAAGATGATCAATTAGTAGAACATATTGTTTTGTTATTAATCAAATTCGATCTAACACAAACTAATTTTCGAAACAACATAACCGAGTTAATTAGTAAAAATTGTACTCAAAAAGATGAACAAATTTTATCTGAATTTGAAACACGTTTTGAATCACAAAAGATCAAACAGTTTAATCCATATTCTATCTTAATAGAATCATTCAAATCAATGGTAAATCTATTTAAAAATATTTCTCAAACGAAATTTAATTTAAATCAAATCGAACGATTTTACAGAGGAATTCATTATAGTTTCAAGATCGACATCAATAAAATAAATGAAAATATTGAAAAGATGAAGGTTATTAATGATAATTTAAATGATTTCGAATTGAATAAAATTTTCGTTAATTTTATTAAACAAATCGAAATAATAACCATAGAAAAGTTTTTAGATAAAATGAATAAAATAATGAGGAATAATTTATTGAAAAATTTGAAATTAGTTTTGAATTATTTAAATAATCGAAATGAAGAAATGATGTTTTTTGATTTGGATAAAGATTTCTTAAATCAATTATCAAATCTAAGAAAAGAATTAGGCAATTTTAATAATAGTTTCTTAATTAATATGGAAAATGGATTAAAAAATATAGAAAAAAAACGATTTTTACAAGATATTAATATTATAGATGATGTTGAACAAATGATTCAAATATTCGATTCGAGACGATTATTTAGATTAGAACATTCGAGTATTGATTTTCATCATAATGATTTACATTTGACTGAATTAGAATTAGAAATGCTAGGATTTAATGAAAATCCAACTTTCGAAGGACTTATTTCATTGGCTACCAATTTCGATAAAGTTATTACGAGTAAAAAGAACTCTTTTTTTGGAGGGCAAATGAAAAATGATACGAAATTTTTTGAAGTGATTATTCATAATTTTGATTATTTTGCACAAAGTACACTCGACTCAAATTTATTGGAAAAATTTAAAGAAGTTATAAATAAGTTTTCTGATCAGCAACTACGTCAAGAACTTTTACAAAAAATTGAGAATAAAAAATACTTGGATGAATTAATAGCGTTCTTAAAACAAAAAGATCTCTCTCCAAAAATTTACGATGAAATTGTGAATAAATTGCTTTCATCTGACATTGATCTCGATGAAGATAAGAAAACATCTATAAAAGAAAAAATTAATGATGGAAAGATTCAATTGTTATATGAAGAGTTGTGTAGTTTAATCCATCCTGATAAAGTAGAAGACAAATACGATCAATTAGATGAAACAAATCAAGATATGAATTTCATAAAAATAATTCAAAAACTTATTAAAGAAAAATTTCTAAATGTTAATTTAGAAAATATGCCTTTATCTAGTATAGAAAGAGTCATCGAAACAACTCTAGTACAAGTGTTTGATGAACTGTATGATACCTACAATGATGGATCATCACGCGATGAAGCGAAAACTGATTATAAAGTACAAATTAAATGAATTTAGAAGACATTTGAA